CAGGAGGTTCAGCAGGTCAAGGTCATTATCAGATGGATAGTGAGTATGAGACCAGTCTGGGTTACCTGAGATACTGTCTTAAAAATATAATTAATATAAACATCATCATGAATGTTTCATATTTCCTTAGCTAATATAATATCCAAACCATATTTGTAGTAGTCCTAGTTTTATTTGGCAATCCATAAGTCCAGATATTTGAGCAAATTTATAGAGCATATATTCCCCCACTAACATATAAGAAAAATATTTCAGAATCAACTAACAATCAAACCTGTATTACAGTATTAGCACCTTTCTGAACTCTGAAATATCAGAGTATGCTTAAAGAATGCAGAACAGAGATCAGCTCTAAGATCTGAATCAAAATACAGTTAGCTCTGTTGAATTCTACCATTTATAGAAATGAGATACTACCATTAAACAGTATAAACAGCATAAGAATGAGCTAATGCAGGGTGTGAAATGAGGGTCGGTTGTGATTATATCTAATATACTAGAATTTGACCATTTTAATTTAAATAGTTATTTTCAGTTTCAATATTTTAATATTTTGAAGGTTTTCAGAGGAAAAAGTTGGTTCTATCAGAGGTCTATCAGCTCTTTAAAGGAGCAACTAAAGAAAACTTCTGCATCCATTTTAGGGAGATTAATCACGCTCTCAGATTAAAAAGTTTTAATGTGCCTAGCAAATGAGTTACAGTGGGTTTCCAAAGGATCCCTGGTCTAGGAGCAGCTAATTTTTTAAGAGGCAGATATCATAACACTGCCTTTTTCCTGTAGAAACCGGTGTAAGTTAATATAGAGAGAACTGTTAATAACCAAGGCTCAAAATAACGGTATTTTAAATGCACTCATAGTGGGACCATGTAAGGCTAGCATGATAGCTCATTGCTGTGAGCTATAGGACTCTTGTCTTGTTTCTCCTTCATCTTTAAGGTTTTCATCACTCACCCATACAGCTTGTTACATCTACATTTCAAGCAGAAAGAAAGAAGTGGTATACACCTTCCCTTCAAAGGCATGACATATATGCTCCACAAATTAATTGTGTTCACGTCCTATTAGCCAGAACTTAATTACTGTAGAACCTCACCTAGCAACAGAAGCACAAGCAAGGCAGAATTTCATTCAGAACGGCCATATACTCAGAAAAAAAGGCATTCTATTGCTATAGGAGAAAAGTGGATAGATGGATAGTGTGCCTGCCACACACTGTACTCAGTCAGGAGCAAGAATTAATCTTCCAACTAATATTTTACTTTTTATGAGATCTGTAATTTGAATGTTCTGCCTGGATGAACAGCAGACAAATGCTTTATGTAAACCACTCTGACCACAATTTCATAAAGACTTCTGCACTATGAAAAGAGATGATGCACCTTTAAGTCATCTTTATTCACCGGCCATAAAATACCTCCATAAATTAAGGAAAGCAGAAGTCATTGACTCTGACATAGCTAATAGGGTACCTTATCCCTCCTAAACAACAATTTCTAGAGTGCCTTCCATGGTTGCTTTTTACAATTTTAACTCATCTTTGCAATCTCAAGAAGCTCTTTATAAGCATTAATTAAATAAACTTCACAACACACTTGAGAACTGTATATTAATGCATCCATTTACATGGCAGGGAGCCAGATGAACATTACAATGAAGCAATATGAGCTGACTTGGTTTCTGCCATGTAAGAATATCAAGCAAGCAGCACTGAGACTCAATGGCCAGCTGGTAATCGCCTTCATAGTTACCCCTAAGCTAGTATTACTGTATGTCCAATACAAGCAAACCATGCCACTAAAACAAAGATAAAAAGGAAACCTTTATTTTGAAATGCAACTTCAGCTTAAGAGAAACCAACATGTAATCTGTGTATAAATCAAAGGATGATAATAAAATTGGAAAGATTTTCATCAAGGAGATTTTCAGCACTAAGCTTGCAATGTGTCTCCAGATTAAATTTTAAAAGGCAACTGCTAAATATGAGTTATTCAGTTCACGTGTCAGAAAGGGATAGAGGATATCTGATTCATTTGAATGAAATAATAAACCATATATGAATATGCATTATCTTTTCTGAACTTTAGGGATTTGTGTTGAATAAATAATAAAAATGATAGTGAAATACATGAGTATTCATTCACTGTCTTTGGTATGACATTTCTTGGCAATATTTAAAATCCCAACATTTGTATGTATGTGATGTGTTTAAAGGATTTCTTAAATACACAGTTATTATAACCATGGGCCCTTATGGGGCTTATAACCCTATTTCTGACACTAAGTGAATGTATAAATATTGGGCTTATTTCTAGCAATCTGGTCTATGTCTAAAAGACGAAACTGTATGCCTCAGTTTGACCTCAAACATGATAGAAAAAGTAATAGAAATGAACAAGTGTCTAGTCCAGGACATCCAGCATGAATTGATGGAATGGGAACTTAACAGTCTCATGGGAAACCTTTTACAAAACCTCCTTCAGTAGAATTTTTTCATGACCCTCAAAAAGGGCAATGCCTTAAAGTTCCTTCGGAGGTACTGGGTTTTCACATCACAGGAACAGAATAAACACTGAACATTTCTGCGAGCACACTTATTCTGACTCGGCTAGTTAGTAGAGTGGGAGGCTGTGATTCCCTTCTACCTGATTCATCCTTTCTTATGGATTGGCATGTTCAAAACACTAGCAAGCTTTTAAAATCAGTCACTCATCAAGACCATTTCCAAGCTAAAAGTCTTAACTGTGTAGACTATGTTGATTGACTGCAATGGGTAGAGGGGTACTTTTTGAAAGGAAAATTTTACCTTTAGTGACTTAACTTTTTAAAAAAAAACTTTTTTTGGTCATCAAAACCTAAAAACAGTGGGAACTCTCTTCCCAAAGAAGAGAGACGAACAGAAAAAAGATGATGGTCACTATGACAGCTTAGGAGATAGCTTTATCTCCTATGAATGAAGCTCTTTCATTCAGGAGTTTCATCTTTCAGGGATTGAACGCTTGTTAAGAAGAAGGGCCCATACACATGCTTTGCTATATATATGAAAGAAGGGTTTTCTACATAAAACTACAAACTTGTGCCTACAGATTTGTTATGTAAAATTTAACAAATCTTTGACAGCATTTATGACGTGTGATAAGACGTGTAAAGGTAAACATATGAACAATTGGCAGATCCTGAGGTTAAATAGCTCATAACCAGATAGCAAGATACAACACTATGTTTCTCAGCAGGTTGAGATAAATAGGCGGGGAAATCAGAAAGCCTGTGGACACAAGCATAGAAAGATGCCTTTCTGACTTCCATGACATGAGCTGTGTGACTCCAATATTGCCTTCCTCAACATGATGGGCTAAAAGCTCTGAAATTGTGAGCCAAAGTTATTTCTTCAAATTGCTTCTCTTGAGTCACAGACAAAGTTAGCACAGTAATTTACTAAGTCAAAATACCCTGCTGGAGAGATGGCTCAGTGAGTAACAGCATGAATTCCTTCTCAGAAGAAGAAATACAGTTGGTTAAGAAATATTTTGAAGGTTGTTCACTATCTTTAGCTACCAGGGAAATACAAATGAAAACTACTTTGAAATTTATCTTACCCTAGTCAAGTGGCTAAGAGTAGTAAAATAAAAGAGAACAAACATTTGTAAGGATGTGGAGAATGGGGATCCCTCATGCGCTGTTAGTAGAAGCAAAAACTGGTGCATCCACTATGTAAAACAGTTCCCCCAAAACTAGAAATAGATCTACCATATGACCCTGCTATACCACTCCTGGGCATATACCCAAAGGACTATTTTGTGCTACAGAGACACATGCTCATCCATGTTCATTGCTGCTCTATTCTCAAAAGACAGGGCAGTGAGAGAGCGTCAATGTCCATCAACTGATAAATGGATAATGAAGATGTGATACCGATACACAATGGAATTTTATTCTGCTGTAAAGAAAATAAAACCATGACATTTTAGGTCAGTGAGTAAAAACGGAAAGCATTGTACTCTGTGAGGAAACCCTGAGACAGAAAGACAAAAGTAACATATCCTAGCTCATATGTGTGTTTTAGCATCAAATATATAGTTTTATGTGTTTGAGTTAGAGTACATCAAGAATCCAGGAAACTAGAAAGGGGCCATTAGTGGGAAGGAGGAAGAAAAATCTTAAGGGAAGGGAGATAGTCAAACATAGGTAGTATGAAGGAGAATAAGAGAATAATGGGTAGGGTGGTACTTAGAAGAGAGATTGGAACGTACAGCAAAAGGGACTAGGGAAGAATGACTATTGCCAATGAGGTTTAGAAAATCCATGTGGAAACCTACTGTTTATGATTTGTGTGTGTGTGTGTGTGTGTGTGTGTGTGTGTGTGTGTTCATATAGAGAGCTAAATTGGAGTTATCCTATATGAGGATGATGTTCCTCCAAGAAGTCATAAGATGCCAAATGAAAATCCCAGTGCCAGGTATGGGATACCTCCCTCTAATTGCTGGTTAGCTATGTTACAGAGACCCCCAAAATGATACAGCTTCCCTCATATAGACCAATTTCCATAGTACCAGAAGGTGCTGTGCAGGTTGCTGGGGAGGGGGGGTGGAAATCCACAACATTTTTAGCCAGCTGGGAACACTGAGAGTTATAATAATGACAAACAGAAGATGATATGCCTATGTGTGCAGTAGTGGCATGAGTGTTTGGGGGTAATCAAGACTTTTTTCATTGGATTTAAGGCTCACTTCACTGAAAGAAATATATGCATGGTGCTGTAAATTTGGCTAAGAACCCATAGCTAGAGCGCTCACAGGCACTAATGATGAACCTGCTGCTATTACTATGCTAAATATATACAGCATCAGACTGTTCTCTAAATTCTAACAGCTTAGCCAAGCTCTCAGACCTCTTCAGAGAGGTATCTTTGTGCAGCAAACTGTGGTTTGAATAGGAACCCATAACTAGTCAAAGAGTTTAAATAAGTGTTTTTGGAATGAGACATCCATAGCATACCATACCTTCTCCCCCAAGGCTCAAGGACCATCCTGGAAGAAAGGACTGGAGTGAAAGTTTGTGTTCTGGACATGACAGGACCACTGTGCTCATGATCTCACAGCAGCTGTGCATTGTTGCCTTCACAAGACCTGCACGAAATCATCAAGCCAGTTAATAAAGGTGGGAGGGCTCACAAGCCCCCATCTCCATCTGAGGAGCTACTGAGAGATGATGGCTTCCGAGGGATGGAGAGTTTTCTTGAAAGGTGTGGTCCCTGATAGGTTAGCTATGCTGCAGTGGACAGCCCCACAGTCATTTGTATACACTCAGCACAAATTAGACTAGGTGGGTTATTGTTTTAAACTGGTAAAGTGTTAAGGTCTTCTCAACTGAGTCATCTGTCCAGTCCCAAGCCATCTCACTTCCTACCTCCTAATTCACACATTTCACTCATTCCCCAACCCTGACACAAAGTTATCCTTATTCATCATGACCTTTCTGTCCCCTGCTCAATCTAAATTCAAACTCTCTAGGTTGCTTCTGTCATCATGGCTAAATAAGTGAGTTTTCCATGTCAACTCTCTTGAGATGTAGGGCCACTCTGAACCTACAGTCAGACCCCAAAGTTCTGTGAGTGAATCTCTATTAGAATTACTTTGGCCTACATATTTGAGAGATGACTCATGCTACAAGACAGTGTAGAATTATAAATGACATCCCTCTGCAATGCTTAAGCCGTCCTTTCTTTCTGCAATAGAAACCTTGCTATATGTTTTAGAATCTTGCCAAAGTTAAACATCCTTCCTAGTTTAGGTTTTATTTCATTTGTGTTAATTGTCATGTGAAAGAATTTACAGAATCCTAATAGTCAAACAGGCAGATGTAAAATCCTATCTGCCTAAGCAGTCAAGAGCCCTAACTGTGGCCAACTTTGTCTCAAGATAGCCAGAGTTCTTTCCACCTTTAGCTAAGGGCCTTGAGAATGATCAATAAACACTTCCAAAGGGAGCAGTATGTGAAGATTAGGGTGACACCAGGCACAACACTTTTGCTTAAGACCCATGAAATGTGTTTTTGGTAACATACCTCAAGTTCAATGGACTCAACAAATTTTAGTTTCTCACCCCATATGAGGCACTAAGTACAAACTACTTTTTGCCTATCCAACAAACCATATCAGCATTCATGTTATCTTAACAAAGACGAATTTATCACAAGAATTCTGCACACATTGTATGTCTCTCCCTTTGTGTAATGTGTACATGTCCTTTGGAAAGGAGATACCAATCTCAGTGTGACTTCCTTAAGAATAATAGACACTGTCACAGTTTGTTAATCCCATTTGTCTCCCAGGAGAAGGGGAAGGTTATTAATTACCCACTGTAGGTCAAGGGGTCATGAGGCCCATAAAGGCCATTTACCCAAGACTCCCTTAGGACATGAACTAGTTGGAAGCTGGACAGACCAATATACCCTGCACATGCTGGCTTTGTTCTCAGAACATGGTCTCTAACTCTGTAACTGTAGGATACACAACCTAATTTCCAGAATTGTTAGTGAACTTCAAAATTTTATATGTACTTAGAAATGGAGGATTTTAAGAATTCTTATGGACAGTGTTATTTCTGGTTCCTTCCTAACCAAGCAAATACAGAGCTGGGTATGCCTGTATTCACAGTAAGACTATACATTGGCTACACAACACTATTAAAAGATATAGGATCTATTTGCCTTTAACCCTACTGACAACTTATTCATTTTCTTTGACTTAGCATTCTCTGATCCACAAAGTAGAAGTTATTGAACACACAAAAATTAATATAGCACTGGGTTATTCTGTCCCCCAAAAAACAGCTAATTGTAATACAGTATGAGATACGCTAAATTAGGGGTATGAAATGCCAATGAAAAGTAGATGAAGCCAGATTGCCCAGAGAAAGGGCCAGTCAAAGAAGCCTTCCAATATTATGTTTGGACTTTGAAGGCTGCACAGGAATTACTGTGAAGATACAATAAGAAAAATCATTCCCAGAGATGGTACCAAGCAAGACAGATACTACTGTAGTAAGGCTGATGCACAGCATCCCTTCTTGAGGGAAGAGATCCCATGGCCTCCTTTGAAGACTTTGCAAGGAACGCAAGAGCAAGTACAGTATTCAAGGACCAAGGAACACAAGAGCAAGAACAGTATTCAAGGACAACCCTCACTTTGCAGTTCTCACAAGTTGGATGACTTTTCTGTTACCAGCCTTGAACTTAAACTTCACCCTCTCTCCAGGACAGGGTCAGCACAAGCTGGGTATGTTAGCTATCCATTGTTGCAATGGATGTCTAAGCAAAGTGAACTTATAAAGAGAAATGTTTGCTTCGGTTCACAATTTGGGATATTTCAGTCCAAGGTCCATTGTCCTCATTGTTTTTGAGATAGCACTTTATGGTGGGGACTCAGCAGCAGAGCAAAGTTGGTCAGTTTATCACATAGTTCAGAGACTTATCTTAGGGTTTCATGGCTGTGAAGAGACACCATGACAATTGCAACTCTTTTTTTAATTTAGACCCCCCATCTCACCCCCCATTCATTCCCCAGGGAGGGTAAAGACTTCCACAGGGATCATCAAAGTCTGTCACATCATTTGGGAAAGGACCTAGTCCCTCCTCCGTGTATCTTGGCCAAGAGAGTATCCCTCCATGAGGAATGGGATCCCAAATTCCATTTGTGCATTAGGAATAAATACTGCTTCCACTGTCAGAGGTCCCATAGACTGTCCAGGACTCCTAACTGGCACTCACATTCAGAGAGCTTCGTTCAGTCCAGTGTTGGTTCCCCAGCTTTACTACTGGGGTCCATGTGCTCTCACTTGGTCAGGTCAGCTGTTTCTGTGGGTTTCTCCATCACAGTCTTGACCCCTTTGCTCATAATTCCAGGAGTTAGGCTCAGTGCTTAGCTTCTGCTTCTATCAGCTACTGGATGAAGGCTCTAGGATGGCATTTAAGGTAGTCATCAATCTCATTATAGTGGAAGGGCAATTAAGATAGGCTCTCCACGATTGCTTAGATTCTTAGTTGGGGTCATCCTTGTGGATCTCTGGACATTACCCTAGTGCTAGATTTCTCTTTAAACCTACGATGGTTCCCTCTATTAAGGTATCTCTTTTCTTGCTCTCCTCTATTCTTCCCCTGACTCAGTCTTCCTGATTCCTCATGTTCTCCTCCCCCGTCCTCTTCTTCCCTTCTCTTTTACAACATTTATGAAGGGAAACATTTAATTGGGGCTGGCTTACATTTCAGAGGTTTAGTCCATTATCTTCATGGTAGGAAGCATGGTAGCATACAAGCCTACATGATACTGGAGAAAGAACTGAGAGTTCTACATACCAGTCTTCAGGCAGCATGACACTGGGCCTGGCTTAAGAATCTAAAACCTCAAAGCCCACCCCTAGTGGCACACTTATTCCAGCAAGACAACACCTCCTAATAATGCCAGTCCCTATAAATCTGTGGGGGCCATTTTCATTCAAACCACCACACATACTAAGAGAAAAAGCAGAGATCCAAGGACCCTACCATCTGTCTTAAGGGCATACCCAAAGTGACCTATGGTCTCCTCTAGGCTTCGTCTCTGAAGGTTCCCATCTCCTGCAATAGCATCACAATCTGGGAACCCAAACCTTTCCCATGTGGGTCTTTGTGGTGCCCAAGCCATTCTACTAAGTAGCCTTTCTACTTATCCTAGAATCTGGGCAGCATCTTCTGTTCTTTCTGTGTTAATTTGTGCATGGGGGACATCATCAGGACTCTGAAGCCAGCACCCAGATTTAATGACTCCATGTTTCCACAGAGGAAGATTACTTCTACGTCAGTCTGCTCTGTCATTTCCCACTGTCCATCTCTAAAGCTTCAAAGATTTTTTATGAGTTTTTCTTTATGGCCTTGAAAGCTCTGGAGCACTAGATTATATCAAAATGTTCATATAAACACACAGTATAAAATCTTTTTTTCAACAACATAAGAACTTAATGTTGAATTTCCTTAACATTTCTCAACTAGCCTGACAATATCTCCCCTGTGAACACATTAAGATCACAATTTTTCTGATAGCCACTGTCAGAGACCTAGAATCTGACTCAAAATCTAAATGGTTTCAAGTTTTAGGCACTGCGAATGTAAAATGTAGCAGTTTATGTACCTAAGTTATAGCTTTAAAAAGCATTCAATCATGGGAGCAAACCACAGTGAGTGATATAGAAGATAGAATGTATTATGTGGGCTGGGGAAACGGCTCAGTGAATAAAGGAGCTTGCTGCCAAGCCTGGGTGATCTGAGTTCAGTCCCTGCAATTTACATTTAGAAGGGGAGAACCAACTCTCCCAAGTCATCTTCTGACTTTCACACATGTGCACACACACACAAATTCGCACTAAATAAATAAATGTCAGCAAACAAAAAAGTCATTATGGTAATTGAATTTCCTACACCACAGTGGGAAAAGCATGGAAGGTTTGGACCTTGCAAATGGAGGAGAGGAAGCAAAGAAAAGTCACAAAGACCCAGCGGGCGTTCTGAGAACTTGCCCTCCCTGATGTGTGATGGGACCTCAAAGCCTCGGGAAGGAGAGTGAGTAATCATGGTCACCGCCTCTGTGTGTTCTCAACAAAGCAACTGACATAGCACAGTGGCACTTCACAGCGCCATGGCCACCATGAGGACCGAGCAAGGATAAACTGGAATCCGTTGACATCATACTACATGTCTCTTGCCACGTATAGGTGACAGGAATCTTCAGAAAATATGACAGTTGCTTCTCTCCCACCTCCCAGAAGCATCAGCTCCAATCTGGAACTACATGAAAATAGACTGACAGTCATACGTCTGAATATAACCAAGTAGATGGTAACTACACTGGTTGACTTAATGCTGAGACTTCCCGAATTCTGTCAGTGCAAGTAAGTGCTCCTCCTCAAACTGAGAAAGTGTTAATACATGCATGCTTACATATCACTTAAATACAAAAGAAAATAATAAAACAATGAGCATCTCACTCTCAAATTTTAAAAGTGTAGTTGATACATAAAATCATATCTACCTAGAGTTTACAATATGAGGTTTGATATGGGGGAAGAGCCTCTCTTCTCAGTTTCTCTCGCCTCTATGTAGTTCTGTGCATCCCACACCCTAAGCATCTAACCGACTTTCCTCCCAACCCAGTACCCCAGCAATCACTACCTTAGCACGTGCTTTCATCGCTGTTCCCTCATATTAAAGACATAATAACAATCCTTGTCTCTAGGAAACTGCCTCAATCTCACTGTGATCCAAATGTTCCATCAAAATAGAATGTTCCTCTTAAAGGTAGCATTCCAGCGCCAAAGTCCTGAATATCACGGGAGAACTGATTCCTGTACCTCTCCTGTCATCCAAAATCCAAAGGCACTCATGTCACTTCTTTGTTACAAAGCAGAATGGTATTTACATATAACCTAGCTAAGGTTAATATTTTAATTCACCTCATACCTAATATGATGTAAATGTCAGGTAAACAATCGGTACACAGACTACATAATCAGCAAAGGTCTGTGTGCCCACCCCTCACCTACTTCCTCTTGTAAAAACAGTCACTGTTCACTCTCTACAATGAGGACATGCATGGTCTCCTTTCCAGTGTCTTCCAGGGCACATGGCCACAAAATTCTCCTAAAAGTGAGGTGTGTTTGCCAAGTTGTGTCATGTATACTGATTTTCATGTCTGTCTTCATGCCAGACTGTAAGATTCTCAATGTTAAGGACCACAACTGATTCATCTTTGTAGCCCCAGGCACTAACAAATTTCTCTGGCACATGGACAGGGCTCAATAAACATTTGGATGAAAACCTACTTGATGTAATTCAAGATTTGATATGTTTAAATATTTGAGTGCATATTTACAGCTGCTTCAATATAAGCTCTGATTCCCATAAAATACAGGTTTATGTTAGAAAAATTAATTGATTTAGGGGTAACTCAATAAAAGCAAATGAACAAGTATTGAAAGTCAATATAAATCATATGATTTCACTGAAGAGATTAATACAATTATTTCGAAATATTAATTTCACTGGTACTATTTACACCATTGATCTGTCATCAAAATATAGAACAATATGGCTCTCAAGATGACTTTGTAGATAAAGATGCCTTCTGCCAAGCCTAATGACCCAAGTTCAATCCCCAGGACCCGTAGAGTAGAAGGAGAGAACACCTACAAGCTGTATTGTGACCTTTACACAAACCATGATACACACTCGCAAACAAATGTTTACCAAAAGTTTTTAGGATGTGTAACAACAAAGAACAAGTGTTTCTCTTAGCTTCAGATTGACAAATCCATGTGTTGCCAGTAGCAGAGAAAGAGCTGACAGTCCTTGATAACAGCTCTCGCGTGGGGAGTTCAGACCAAAGCAGATGGACCAGACACATCGGGAACGCTTTAACAAGATGTCTTTGCTAATTCAGGTTACATACTCCTTGAAAGTTCCTTCAGCATAAGCTTAAAAGTTTGCAGATGATTTTGATCAGAGCTGACAGCTTTGTCTAGAGGCTACTTTGCAATTGCCTTTCCTGTGTAGTTTGGTTGGATTCTGCTGGATTCTGTAGGAAAGGCAAGGATGTTTACAATAGGCCAGCGAGCAGGGCGTACTATGTCACTGCCAACTTTCTGCTCCTGACTCTTGCTTGTGTGCTTATTTCTTTAATTCATCAGTGGTGACCCAAGGTTAATCCAGAGGTACTGCCATTTCTCTTGTGTGTTTGAGTATATGTTAATAGTAATTATGTTTACACTCGAAGGCTGTTAAATAAAAGGCCAAATTCTTGCCAATGTAAAAGCATTGGAAAGTCTTTTTAATACAACCATGTTTATTATATTTCAGAACGTATCAATCATGAATATTAGTTTCAGTACTCCTAATCAAACCCTTCAAACATTCTATCATTTTTCAATTCCATAAGACTTACATAATTCTCCTTAACCTGTTGAATTTTGTAGCTGTTTTTGAATTGCCCAGTTTACTTTTGAACTCATCAAATATACTATCCCTAAGCTGATTATTTAATTATTTCTATTGGAAGGAAAAGGGAATTTTATCATATTTGGGCTGGGCAGTAGTTAATAAGAACCACACATTGAAGTACTTTATTTCCCATAGAATTCCTTATTCTACTCAATAGAATTCATGCATGAGTTGGTCTATTTGCTCCAAATGAGGTGGTTTCTACAACACTGTGGTTGGAACTTAGTATTTTAAAGTCATTTTCATCATGCTTTCAGATCAGACCATGTGTACAGCTGAAGAAACTGATGCTTGGGTGTTTAACTGCCCAAATACTCATTGTGTTGGCAATACCATCTAGAATTGCAGTAATTATGCAAAGACACATGAACATATCTTTAAAGAACTAGCTATAAATAAATGCTGATCCACTAATAAAATATATATTTGTATAGAGGGGAGTGCACTGTGCATAGGGGGCAGAGGTTGATTCCAGATCTCTCCCTCAGTTGTTCCGCATTTTTCTTGAGGCAGAGGGTCCCACTGAACTTCAAGTTCATGTATTCCCTTAGGTTGAGTGGTCGGCAAGTCAAGCGTCTGCCTCTTTTCAGCTTCCCAGTGGTAGCAATATAAGTGTGTGCTGTCACACCCAGCCTTATACATTGGTCTAAACTCGGGTCCTCCCACCTGCATAGAAAGACTTCACTGTCTCTCCAGACCCTATAGTTATTTTTATTGACACATTATTTTCCTAAACTAAACCCTTTATATAAGTACTGAGGTTTTACAAGATCATTTCCTTTTGAAAGTGTCTGAGAATTTTGTACATACAATGTATTTTAATATCCACCCCTACTTGCCACCTCCAACCCCTCCCCATTCCCCCTTATCACTGTCCCAATTGCATGTTCGTTTCCTGTTTTAAAAAAAGTGACCCACGAAGTCCCAGTAGTGCTGCCTATATGTGCATGGTTGTAAGGCCACTGACTAGAGCATTGGCAACCAGGAGCTACATTACTGAAGAAAACTGACTCCCCATGCTCTCCCCCTCACTCCAGCAGCCGTCAACTTGCAATAGCTTCTTAGCTAGGGATGGGACAACATGAATCCTCCCACATTGCTGCTGGAATGTTGACTGGCTTGATCTTGTGTGGGTCTTGTATGACCAATGTCAGCTGCTAGGAGCTAATGAATTCAACAGCTGTGTTGTGTCCAGAACACACCATTTTGCAGCAGAGCTCCAGAACCTCTGGCTCTTACAATCTTTCTGTACCCATCTTCCATGATGTTCCTGGAGTCTTGGGGTGAGGGGGGTGCGCAATGTGGGATTCATGACTGAGTGGGCTCCATGGGTACATATTCTCTGTACTGAGGACAGAGGGAGAGGGAGTGGGGGAGGGGAGGGGAGGGGAGGGGAGAGAGAGAGAGAGAGAGAGAGAGAGAGAGAGAGAGAGAGAGAGAGAGAGAGAGAGAGAGAGAGTGAGTTTCTATGATCTCTCCTTGGGTACAAAAAATTAGTATTTAGAAAGCAGTTTGATACTACGTCTGTTTGGTGAAATAGTACTAGTAGTTTCTCCCCCTAGAGACTGTGAACTCCCAGGCATAGGTTCTTGGTCAAATCTATAGTACCATACATGAGTGCTGAGTGCTGAGTTTTAAAACAACTTATGGGCCATGGAGAGCTAATTAAGAAATGATCACTCTATAGTGCTGCATTGGATAAAAACTACCAGGGAGCTCTTACAGCTGATTAACACCTTCAGCAAAGTGTCAGGATACAAGATCAACTCAAGAAAATCAGTAGCCCTACTATATACAGACGATAAGAGGGCTGAGAAAGAAATCAGAGAAACATCACCCTTTACAATTGCCACACACAACATTGGGGTAACGCTAACCAAACAAGTGAAAGATCTATATCACAAGAACTTTGAGTCTTTAAAGAAAGAAATTAAAGAAGACACCAGAAAATGGAAAGATCTCCCATGCTCTTGGATAAGTAGGATCAATGTAGTAAAAATGGCAATCCTGCCAAAAGCAATATACAGACTCAATGCAATCCCCATCAAAATTCCCGCACAATTCTTCACAGACCTTGAAAGAACAATTCTCAACTTTATATGGCAAAACAAAAGACCCAGGATAGCCAAAACAACCTTACTCAACAAAGCAACATCTGGAGGCATCACCATCCCTGACTTCAAGCTCTATTATAGAGCTGTAGTCCTGAAAACAACTTGGTATTGGCACAAAAATAGACAGGTAGACCAATGGAATCGAATTGAACACTCTGAGATTAATCCACAAACCTATGAACAGTTGATTTTTGACAAAGAAGCTAAAATTATACAATGGAAAAAGATAGCATCTTCAACAAATGGTGCTGGCATAACTGGATATTGGCATGTAGAAGACTGCAGATAGATCCATGTCAATCGCCATGCACAAAACTTAAGTCCAAATGGATCAAAGACCTCAATATAAATCCAGCCACACTGAACCTCTTAGAAGAGAAAGTGGGAGATACACTTGAACAAATTGGTACAGGAAACTGCTTTCTGAACATAACACCAGTAGCACAAACATTGAGATTGACAACTAATAAATGGGACCTCCTGAAACCGAGTAGTCAGCAAGACAAAAAGGCAACCCACAGATTGGGAAAAGATATTTACTAACCCCACATCTGACAGAGGGATGATCTCCAAAATTTACAAAGAACTCAAGAAGCTATTCTCCAAAACACCAAAGGACCCAATTAAAAAGTGGGGGACTGAACTAAATACAGAATTCTCAATAGAGGAGACTAAAATGCTGAGAGAAAATTGAGAAAGTGCTCAACATCCTTATCCATTAGGGAAATGCAAATCAAAACAACCCTGAGATATCATCTTACTCCTGTCAGAATGTCTAAAATTAAAATCACCAATGACAGTTTATGCTGGAGAGGATGTGGAAAAAGGGGAACACTCATCCATTGCTGTGCAAACTTGTACAGCCACTTCAGAAATCAGTATGGAGATTCCTCAGGAAAATGGGACTCAGTCTACCACAAGACCCAGCAATTCCACTCTTAGACATATATCCAAAAGATGATCATTCATATAACAAGGATGTCTGTTCCACTATATTCATAGCAGCATTATTTGTAATAGGTATATCCTGGAGCCAACCTAGATGCCCCACAACTGAAAAGTGTACAGAGAAAATGTGGTACATTTACACAATGGAGTACTACTCAGCGGGGAAAAAA